CCTCACCCCGGCCTGGTAGAACATGCTCCCATTTGAGATCAGGGCCCTGTGGGATCTAGCACAATTCCGCAGGGCCTGTAAAATGGAGTTGTTCTGCCAGGCCGTTGGTTGAGGTGGCAGGTGTTCAATCCTTTCTGAGGGCCCTGTCCTGTCCACAGCACTGTTTATGATGTTTCCCCCCAGTGTCCTACTGTTTTGGATACTATCTGGACACTGGAGTTTCCTAGGGTAATTAGTTCATAAGGCATGGGTTTGGTTTGGTCTGCTATTGCTATTTATTGTTTTACAGTTTTTATTGCTTGCTGATTTTATGCTGTGAGCTGACCTGAGCCCATTTTTGGTGAGTAGGGTGGGATATAAATTTAATAAAATAAATAAATAAGTCTATCAATGGTTACTAGACATGGTATCTGAGGAGAACCACTTTCAGAGGCACTAAGCCTCTGAATCTCAAAGCCAGGAGGCAACGTCAGTGGAAGGCCTCAGCTTCTATGCCCTGTTGTTGGCTGTCCAGAGGAACTGGTTGGCCACCGTGCGAGACAGGATGGTGGACAAGATGGACCACTGGTCTGATCCTACTTAGGGTAGCTTACAGTGGCCTTCCCTTCCACTCCTCACAACAGGCACTTTGTGAGGTAGGTGGATCTGAGAGAGAGCTTTGAGAGACAGAACTGTGACTAGCCCAAGGTCACCCAGCAGGCTTCATGTGGAGGAGTGGGGAATCAAAACCAGTTCTCTGGATTAGAGTCTGCCGCTCTTAAACACTACACCATGCTGAGTTAATGGGCAGTATGGGCAGTGGTGGGTCCAAAATCTGCAGGCACAAGTGGAGAGCGCATGATTCCATTTCAACCCCCTTTAAATCTGGTTTATTTGTAGGTTTGCACTGGGCTTGAAGCTCTGCATCAACACAATCAATGCCTAAGGCTCCATTTCCCTAGGCAGACTGCTAGGCTCAGCTTGCGGCTCCTGCAGTCTGTTCCACTGTGCCAGGAACAAAAAGTCTAGGCCAGTTGTAACTTTGTATTGCTATTTTCCAATAGCAAAAAGCTAGGGTCACTGTCTCAGAGTTCTTTGCCATGAGTTGAGACAGTAGCAGTCTGCTAACACACTGTTTGTGGTCATAGAATCTCTAGTCCATATCTCATTGAACTCACAGAGGCTGGGAAACATTGATTTTATTATTAAGCAGGACAGGTGGTTAATTTTGACATAGCATTTGGCACTCAGATGCTTCCACATGCTGGAATGTCATGTGAAAATTGTAACTTTTCTGGTGTCTCCAAGACCCAAAAACAAGGAGGGCGTCTCAACCAACCACGTTGCTTCCTAACAGACCACCCCCCCCCTCCCCACACACACACAAAATGAAGAGATATCTTTACATTTTGTAAGTAATCCTGGCTGGTAGGTCACTGTGCCCAACACATATCAGTGAGTACTTTGAAAAGGGGTGTACATGGGGAAGAAGAATGCCAGATGCTGGCTAGGCGGGCCAAAAGAGAACTGCAGTATTCTGTTCTGCAAGTACTAGCGTCCTGGCTTCTTCCACGTACGTGATTCCCAAATGGCTTCCGGAACCTGGGACCAGATTGCCTAGATCAGCCCTTCTAGCACTCACAAGGCTGTGTCCTTGGGCAGGCTGCTACTCTTTGGTCCACCTTGCCCCAAGGATACTTTACCATCT